TACTCATTAACAGTTGTTGAACTTCGGAATACTTTCATGCGTACGAAATGATTATGTATTTATGTTATTTTTCTACAATGAAGTACTGAATTCACCGAATTTACAGTTGTTCATTTCAAGTTGAACTACTTTTTATTTTCACAGGAGCTCACTAGACCGCGGAATTAGCAAAGCAGACTTCTGTAATTTTTCTAGTGGCACTTTTATTTATTTTATTTTTATCAAGTTCTAGTGAAATCAGAGTCAAAAGACATAAGCCAATAGCTGATCTTGTATAAGTTTGAGTACTGTATGCCAAGAGTGGTATCGACTAATTAGTTGTCTTTTGAAAATTTTGTGGTTAGAACTTTGCCACCGAGAATTAACCTGCTCGACGTTCATGAAATCTTTTGAAATTGAAGTATGTTAAACTTATGTGTTGTGTGAGAGGATAAGGAATAGTGTATGTTATTACTCAGTGACAACAATAGATTAGTCCAGCATCTACTTCTAGATAGCCGGTTGCCCCACTTCTGACTAAAGTTTCAAATCCACGTGGGATTATACACTTTAGTTTGGGAAATATAGAATTATTGAAATGATTGTGTTTTTAACTAGACAAAAGTTGCAAAAAAATATTGCAGCTAATATTTCTACCAGCTGGATCCTCACATGATTTATCTACAATGTGTGTAGGGCATGAGTGTTCACAGACTATGGGTGCAGCCGATGTGAGATGGTAGCACGTGCTATATTCAGCTCATTTTCATGACAGTCTAGTTATAGGATTACATATGCGATCATATTACATTTTTGTTGCTTTAGCTTTTTGACCTTTTGTACCGAGCTGATGTTAGATGTCTGGACTTCAAAGTTTGTAAATAAGTGTATAAAGTTTTCCCTCTTTTCGAAAGACAAGTACAACCAAAATATGTTAATTAGTGTGGCAAAGCAAACCCAAGGAAATTGTTGTAACTTAACATCCAAAAAAATACAGTCTTGCTAAAGCACATCTAGATGTGCCCTATGTATTGCACATATAAACCTCATATCATTGATTTTACACGAAGGTTCATGCGGGTATTTCTTTCCTTTTTTTTTCTTATATTTGATTGAGTCACTTAGATATGCAATAAGTAGGACACATCTATATTCGCCCTAGGCATACTATGCATCTTAAAGTATGGGGAGATGGACAGAAATGCTCCATCAAATTAAAATCATAAAATAACAACACGCACCTTTGCCCCTAAGCACGGCGACATGCAAGACGTTTTGTCCATATGGTCCAGAGTAGGACAGCTTCTCGTTCTCCGAATGCAAAAAGACTGCAATATCATCATGTCCTAGTGAGACGGCCAGGTACAAGGGCGATGTAGCGTCGCAATGCGGAATGCAAGCCAATTCTGGATCCACCTCCATTAACTTTTTAACCATTTCCTTCATAGTTTTCTTGTTGGCCAAGCGGAGGGCCTCATGAAGGGCCGTCTCGCCTTTCTTGTTCTGCTTTCTGAGCACATCCGTCACCCTTGCATGCCCGCCGTCGGCTCTTGCCAGATGGATGAGACGAGAGAGCATCTCCACCCCGCCAGCTCTTGCAGCGCAATGAAAGGGCGTATCACCCTTGCTATTGCCTGCGTCCAGGAGGTGCTTGGCCTTCTCGTGAATCACGCTTGCGCACTCCAAGAAGTTCTCTTCATCGCCGCTCACCGCAACGACATGGAGGATCGAGTCCATCTCCAGGGTGTCCACCCTTTCAACGTCGATGTCGACCCTCTCAATGTCGATCATGACTACAGGCTCCAACACAACCGGTGTGATAGTTGTATTGTCACTGCCC